TCGTTTAAGGACCATAAATATGTTAAACAAAACCTTCGCATTCATAGTTCGTAAAGTTTATTTTCTTCCTAAATAATTTAATGTGAATTTAATTAAATTTGTTTCTTGAATTTTAGCTGTAAAACCTTACTAAGTCTGAACAATGTTATAAAATTTTCAAATTTCATATGAATAACATTTAGTAAAAATAATAATAGTGACATATAATGATTTATTTCTGAACATTTTGTTTTTTAAATTTATTTATTTATTAGTACATATATGTGTAAATTTATTCAGTATTTTTATCAGTATTTTATGGTAACCCTACATAGGAATAGATGAATTGTGTATAGAGATTCGGGACAAATTTTGGATTACATTAATTAATGAATCTCGTGATCCTTATCATTCCGACCATTGATTTTCCTATACAGCGAGGATTAGCCGCGGCATACCGCAATTGATAATGAGAATTGAAGCCTATGCAGAGCCGCAGCGTTCACAAAATTAATTGACCCAGAGTAACAAATTACTTATTTTCAGATGTATCGAGATATTTCATTTTTAATCATTACAGTCAAAAGAACTCCAATGTAATAAAATATAAGTCGATTAATTTGTGTATTCATAATTACACCCACACATGTCACAGTCAAAAGAAGTCCAGTATCATAAATGTAATAAAAGTTTGTGAATTAAAATGTTCATAATTACACTAATACGGCTGCATAAATTTAATTAAAATTTGTTATACCGATGAAACTAATCCCATGCCTATTTTTTTCATCAGTAAAAATCTTTTCATTTCTTTTTCATAATTAATACATAATTATTATTATACATCGTATTGTAAAATAAGATATAGGAAATATATAAGGTAATGATACGAAATTAATCTGTCTATTAATTTTGTGACAAATATTCAAACATACACATTAAAAAAAAAATTAAAGTTGCAAGTTATAGGTTTGGAGCACGTATAAATTAATAAGTTAATTGCAATATTGAGCGCCTATTTACGATGCAGTTTTGATTAATAAAGAAATAACTCTTAATCGATTAAGAAATACATAAAGAAAGACTCAATAGTGATTGAGCGAATGATTGACCTAATGATTATGCATTCTGATTGATGATATGTCAGTCATAACGTCAACTATATCACAAATTATTGCAGTCAGAAAACAAGATAGGTAGTATTGTATGAAAAAAAAACTACTGAATTTTGTTTATTAATAAGAGTAAATGTTTTTAGCTCTCAAGTAATGCATCCGAAAACTTCATCTCATATTACGTTTATTAATTAAAATAACCTGTTAAATTCGAACTCGAAATGGCTTTTACATTTGAGATTTTAATACGGTTATGAGGTAATAATAAATTACTCTATCTTAATAATAATTTAATAACATAATTACTTATCTGTTCGAAAATAATTTGTGGAGCTGAACTTGGTTGGATTCTAAGTTATGTCAAAATGTTGTCACTGTTCGGTATTCCACTAATTTATGTGAACATAACACGACGTCGTAGTAGCACTTAATAACAAGGGATCTTGCTGAGGCATTTGTAACCTTAATATCTGTCCATTATAAATATTTTATTAAATTCCATACGTCATACGTCACGAGCCACGTTTAGCTGGGGATAAATTATAATTATCTCTACTGATATTTCACTCTCATATACCTTATATTTAAATTTAAATTCTCGTCAGCTGACACCTTGTATATTAAATGCATAACGTTCTTGTCATGTCAGACGCTTCTGCGTCACAACGTTATATTTTATATACTTACACGAACTTAAATATGCGTAAAGAAATTTACTAATGGTCCTGTACAGTTATATGGAATTTCTTAGCATTCTTTTAAGGTTGTTTTCTAGTAGCGAACATGAATGGTTTCCGCAAAGAAATATGAGTCCAAAATGAGAAAAAGAATGTGTTTCTCTATATAGTGCTAATACAGGAATTACCACTCAATAATTAGATAAGTTTAGACAAGAGACTTGACTCGTCTATCGTCTATACTTACATGATTTGAAAGTTCTGAATTTTGTATCGAGCTCTTTGTTATTTTTATGTAAATCCATTTTATGTGATACTAAAACACATTAAAACGTTATAGCTGAGCTAGCAGAGGTTGGAGGAGGAAATTAAGAGAGGAAAGATCATTACCCAGCTAAGGGATATTAATGCGATGTTACGTATGAGAAATATTAATTAAATAATATTAATTAATATCAACATTTACTGTTATCAATATCTTTGTTTAGATGTCATGTCATCTAGAATGAAATTTTTAGTTTTTGAAACTTGTAGCTAATGGACAGTATGATGAATTTTGAAATCTTACTAATATAATAAAATTGTAACTAGATATTATCTGTATATGAGAGATATTAAAAAAAAAAATCTTAGAAGAAATATGAGGGGTCTTAATAAGAGTAATAGAAGTTAAAATTTTATCTGTCTACATGTACGTATGCACGAGTATGTTTGTTCCGGCATCGTGTTAAAACTATTACACCAAATTAGATGCAGTTTTCACAATCGTATTATCTTGATAAGGTTTATCAAGATAAAATAGATTATAAGTTTAAATTTCTATATTGAAGTGATCCATTTCATCAGTTTTTCAACTTTTGAAATCCATGCGTTTGAAGTAGCGAGCAAAAATCTAATAATAAAATAGTAATAATATGTATTATAAACTAATACTTATGTATAGAATAAATGGCCTACTTTATTACACTTTAATTGGTTATATTTTCTGTTAAATATCTGAAGAGAAATAAATCTTACCTAAGTTATAAAATGAAATTCTTCTCAAGTATTTCCCCTTATCTTATAAGAATACTTAGTAAAGTTATGGTAGGTATAACAATAGAGTTCACAATACATAATAATATAAATCCTCTTGAATGTTCACCTTCGCAGCGGGATAGGGAGGAAAAGTGGTGGAACGGGAGAGAATTCAATTTTGTTGCAAATATTGCAGTGGAAACTCTGTAACCGACTAAATATAGGTCTGTTATAAACATGTCCACTTGTTTGCGCGACAGCTGAATTTTTAAAAGCAACATTTTATGGCATTTATAGAGTGTATTTTTATTACTTACTAGCACACCTGACTGATTTTGTCCCGTAAATTTTCAATTTTTTCTGCCCTAGTAATCTTAAACGGTCTATTGGAGTAATATTTTGTGACTAGTTATATCTAGGGGATTTGTTCGCATAAATCAGTACATAAAGTATCCCATAGTTTAAGTTCGAAGATAAATAATCTCTATACTAAATTTTATTCATATTCGTTCAGTTTAGTTAAGTGTAATTGGTTAACAAATATTCAAAGATACAAATGGATTTTACAAACTTTGAAACTTATATCACAAAAATATGACAACAATTGATCCGTTCTCAAGTGATACGTTTAACCAATAATTCACCACTTTAAATTCCATTGTATATTATGTTATTATTTCTTTTTCGTCATCCTTTCGTTCAATTGTTTCCACATGCCTGAACCAACACAGCATATATTTTTCCGTTTCATTTTATACGTCGATATTTTTTAACCAATAGTATTCTATATATATGAATTACTTAATTTTATTTAATATTTATGTCTATTATTTTGTACTATTTGTACCTTCTATATTAGTCTATGAAGTGGTTTTTCTATGTAAAAAAAAAATCCGCTTAGCCGTTTTAGCGTAATTTAGTAACATAAGTTAAAACATTCATATCAAGCTTTTATATTTTTAATATTAGTTGTATTTATAACTTTTCAAGTATTTTAACACTTCAGTTCTCAGGAGTGACAACTTGTGAATGTTTGCATAGGTGTTATATTAGGTGATATTTATTGTATTGTCACAGAAAAAAAAACAAGTATTTAATCTATGATACTTTTCATGCTAAATGTATGTGACGATTTCCACTTTCCATTAGGTGGGCCGTTTGTTTGCTAGACTAATCGTCGCAAAAAGGTGCGATGGGTCCCTCACTACACTAAAAGCTGTGTTTTTGTACCTATAGGTATAGAAATATATTATTTTTATGGAATAAAATTTTATTACACATACACAAAGAGGATTTTGTTCAGCAACGGGTGGATTCTGGAAATATGTAAAATAATTATGAACTTCTAGCATTTATCTACGCCTTTGTCCGTATGACCAGGATATGTTTACTAACCGGGATAAAAAAGTTATTTTTTTTATACAACTTAGAATGGGAAATAAGCTGACGGGACACCTGATGGAAAGTGGTAACCGTCGCCTATAGACATGAGCAGTACCATGGACATAACAGAGTATACTGTTTCGCCCATGATACCCCCCATGCGTTGCCACTCCTGAGGACTCAGGTGTTATTCCTCTGTATCCAGTAAATTCATGCTATATCCCACCTTTCAAACCGAAACACAGCTGCTTCACGGTTGAAACACGAATGGGACAGAGGTACCCAAGCAATCGACTTTTGTACAAAGTCTCCCTCTGGTAGTGTATATCTATCTCTATCCCTTATAGGCCGGATATATCAAATTTCATACTAATTGGTTAAGCCCTTAGGCGCTATAAGTAAAACAAACAAACTCACTTCCACATTTATAATTATAGTAAGGATTTTCAACACGAAATTGAATATTGTACGTACCCGTATTGGGTAAAATGCTTCATTCCATTGGTTGTAATTTAATTTATGGAATATAGGTTATACCTATGACTTTGAATTTCAGTTACGCGAACTACGATAAAAAAATAGCTTATGTTTTTTCTTTATCAAAAAGTTAACGTACTACTAAGAGACAGACGTTTGCATTTATGATATTTGTAAGATTATATCAGTCATTCAAGAATTGTTTTTAATTTTTTTATAATACTAGTATAAGTGTTATTTTAAATTTTTTTTAAAGTTGGTTAAATACACGGACGCCTCTAGTATATGTACAGTATCATATTTTTGTAAAAAGCATCTACTAGATATTATATGTAATAATATAAAAAAATACCTTTCAGCTGTTGAATCAAACGACTGTAGACAGCATCACACGGGCTGCAACAAACAACAAATACTTATTATAAAAAAAAAAACTGAAACAAATTACAACTAATATTATAAAGAGTGGAAAGTATGATTTTTTTCTTGTAATAAATAAATTCAAAAAGCTACTTGACTGATTTTAAAAATTCCCTTACAAACAGCTACATTATCAGATAGTAACGTGTACTACATTTATTGAAAAAAAAAAAAACGCGCCATACCGTGGCTTATCACTTATACGTAATAAAAGGAGAAACGTTTTGTATTACGGGAACTCTTAGCGAACTCGTATTGTGTATTCGTACATGAGTGTGAAAAGAAACCTAAACAATACAAAGCAATAATTACTTTTTTTTGCATTCTACCATGTTGACATGGAAAACGTAGTCATGTAAATGAATGAAAATTCTCTCTCGTTCCTTTCAAAGAAATATACAGTTATATAAAATAAATACAATAAAGAATTATAAGAAGCAAGATAAATACGATCGTGATGTAAAAAACAAACTCAATTTCACAAGTATGGGGACAGAAATTTAATAAAGATAAAAATCGCTTTTTTTGTTTTAAAATATATTAGTAAATAAATAATTACAGTGTAATCAGAATAATAACAATAGATGAAAGGCATTAAGGTATTATAGGTATACGGATATACATGATTAATTTAATTGCTGTTTTGAAACTGACAAGGAAATATTTAAAGTGGTTCGAAAATTAAAAAGGGAACTACAATAACAGAAAAATAAATAAAAGCGGAAACGTAATTTAAAATATAATTTATATTACGTTATTTCCTTATTGTAATTATTAGACAATTCAATATAAATAATTCGAATATTATTTATAACTAGCTGACCGGCAGACTTCGTACTGCCTCAATCGATAAATAAAAGATCTACACTTTTGTATAAAATAAACTTAAAACAAACAAAAGGAAAAAAATTACGTAAAAATAATCTGAAAGATAGTTAATAACTTTCATATTTCACCTTTTATACCTGCCCTGGACTTCCAAAAATAATTCAAGACCAAAATTAGCCAAATCGGTCCAGCCGTTCTCGAGTTTTAGCGAGACTAACGAACAATCTTCTAATAATCTTCTATATATAAAAACTTTGTTTACTTTCATAATAATCTTACAAACATTGCTAATAAAGAATTATACATAAAAAAGTTTCCAAAGAAATTATGTCAGCTCATAAATTATTTGCACGTAATACATAATCAATTCTAGAAAAAAAAAACAGCAAAAAAAAAAAGAAATAATATATAACCTTCATTGATGATATGACACTACCCAAATAGTAACAGCTAAATGTCTGAAGTATATCATAAACAGACATATAAAAGACGTTATCGTAGCATATGCCTTGTTAATATAATTTATCTTCGAGATAGATATCTAAGAAATTCAAGAGAATTATGGATATAAATCTAAAAGAAAATATCAAGTTACGAAATTGTATACCATTTGTACAGCATCCAATACACCCACTGTTACATTTATTATTTACCTCGCAATTATTAAATGCACATGATCTTTTATGAAAATATCATAATGCGAAAAGCATATTTTATATTTTTATATAATGATAGTTCGGTTCTCCATTATAATGATGGGGTAAAAAAAATATAATATGTAACGATTCGTTTTCATTTCTAGGCGAAATAATAAGCGACTAAGGAAAAAATTACAATCCACCATTATAAAGAAAGGAAAACTTAAAATAAATACATATAATTCACAGAAATATCAGATTTTTATCCCATTTAGTTAGCAACAGCGTTTCTCTTTCACTAATTCCCATTAATCGCCATGCCGGATATTACTTACTCCACTCTTGTAGAGACCATCTTTGACATAGTGCATCCATTTATTTTTTGATCATCACTTCTTATTACGCCCTTTAACTTCATATTCAATACTTACGTTTAGATTTTACTTCAGCTTGACAGCTCCTATAGTAAATTGCTTTACTGTTAAGATTGAAGGGCATTGGATAGCATGTAGTAAATTATTAAAAATACCCAAAGATTTACTATAAACAATATTGCAAAATAACCAAGTAATTTTATCAGCTTGACTGAAAGAAGAAATTGTTATTTGAGATGAGTCTTAAACTTACAGATACAAATAAATGTTACCGCTGAATTTAGGATTATCCTTAAAATAGGCTTAAAAAACCAACTAACTTCAGACACATTTTTATTTTGAATTAAATACGTGATAGTTATGTTGAAAATTTTGAGAATTGTAAATGGTAGGATTACAAATTGTATTTTTGAATAAGTAGATGTATATTCTATAAAAAAAAAAACACCATCACATCGTAGAAAAAAAACCAGTAATTTAGATTTAAAAACTAAACTATTGATCCAATTTTGATAAAATTTCTATTTGACTAATCTAAATTCTTTCAGATAAAAAAGTAGTTTTCCAAATTGGTTTATAAATGACAGACTTCGGAGGAAACAAATATAAAAAAAATACAACCGAATTGACAACCTCCTCTTAATGTCGGTGAATAGTTAGTGCGTAACATGGTTAGCTATCAACAAATAACTTTTGTAACATCAGGACAAAACTTTAATAAGTTTTATATAAATGGAGGTTCTTGCGTTGTCTATCATTTTATGTATTATCTGTACTCGAACGTAAATAAAATTTAATATAATAGGTAATAATAACATCAGACATTGTTTGATAATTTGTTCTTTGAACTCAGGGTAATAAAAATACTTCTCAATTTTATTAAGTGGGCTCTTTTTTATATTAGGCTCGACCTTGCAACTTCATTAAAAGTTCCTTTGTTTGTATTAAAATTTGGGGGAAAGACGAACAATCGTTGACTTTTTTTTATTTTGTAAGTCATTTTGTAATTAATCATGTTTAGCAGCGACATATTTTGTATTCAAGTTTGTGAAAATAATTAATTTTTATATTATTGGGTTTGATTACTAATCTGTTTTTTCTTAATTTATATATAATTCAATTATTTTTTAAATGTACTATTTTAAAGTGTTCATAAAAATTTTCATACCTAATGTTAAAGCAATCATTCTACTTACCACCTGAAAAAGATCTACCACCTGAAAAAAAATATAATTTAAATAAAATTTCATAATGCAAAATAGTTCGTGTAAGTCCGTGACTGACATTAAGAAATTATTTCGCTCGTATATAAAATTTCTTTTATATATGTAAGAAATTTCTTTATATATATATATATATATATATATATATATATATATATATAAGAAATTTTATTATATATATTAATATAATTACATAAATAAATATGGCTTGTCTGATTGTAAGCGAAAGAGTAACATTGTACCTGTCTTCCAATAATGTAAAATATCATTAGTTTTAACTTTAAATAAGATTTCTTTGTTTACCTAGATTTTATAATAAACTAAGTAAACAAGAGAATTCAAGCTATTTACAAAGTTAGACATTTTAACTTTGATACACGTCAAATATAATTATGCTGTAGTCTTATCAGTTCTGAGATCAAAAGATGGATAGAGATATCTAAATAATATAATACTAATATTATAAATATTAAAGTTATAAAGATGTTTGAATGATAAGGTTATTAAAAAACTATATATAACTATAGATAGTAAAAATTTACAGTCGAGAGCTGGATGTATCATATAAAAGTAGGTACATATAGATACATCAAAACTGAATTAAATTTATGAAGATACTAGATATTTTACGACTTGGACTTTACCAACTATTAATTGAAAAAAAGTACTAAATTATGTGTGAACTATAAAATTATTATAACAAGTAGATTTTGTCATACAATTAAGTTTGTTATAATTATTACATTAGCCGTTAACTGTCCACTGCTAAATTCTTTTCGCTCTTGAAGACTCAATGCCTTATTAATTATTATTAATTTTGCATATTGCCTTTGGCATGCTGATGGTGATATCAGTCTGTGTGAACAGTTAACGGCTAGGAGTTTAACGTCCTTAGAGGGTTTTGCCAGTAGTTGCCGCTCTTGGCAGGCGGATTGGCAACCGCAATTAGGCTTCGATGATGTTTTAAAAAGGACGATGCTGTCCATGTCTCAACCATTAAGTTTCCTTAATCGCTTCTTACGATATCTAAAGGAAAAGAACGGGTGGCTTATTCTATGCCAGGACTATATGTCTAAAAAATAATATCGATTCCACTATTCTCGTGACCGACATAAGTTGATTGACCGAAGTAAGAAGTACAATTCAAGGAAAATGTGTACCAAATTTCATAACGATTCGTCAAGCCCTTGAAAACAAAGAGACTTATTAGTAAGACTGTAACTATGATATATTATTTTATTTAATTTTCTTTATGGCACTTATAATAGGTGCTTATTATTACTGAAGTAATAAAGAGAACATGCTAACAACGTATGCTAACAACATTACCACTCTCTCTTCGTTCTTTCTGATGCGAATCATTATTATGTTATCTACTTATGTAAATGTAAATTCATTGCAACTAGGAGAGTGTTATATGCAAATGAGTCTCGACTCGAAAATAAATAATTTAAGATTGTGTTTCACGAGAAAAGACTTCAATTGTGTAAAAACCAGTTATTTTGATTCAAAAAGTCTACTACTGAACCGATTTCGATAAAATTTCTTTAGAACTAATATATAAGTATATACTTTTTTTAGACAAAAAAAATCCTAAATTAGTTTATAACTAACGAAGTTATGAGGTAACAAACATAAGAAAATACAACCGAATTGGCAATACCTTCTTTCTGAAAAGTACTATAAGTACTTTTCAGAAAGAATAGAAGTAAAACTATTAGAAGTAATTTTTATAAGACAAAGGAAAATACAATATAAAACACTCTGCATGTTCTACTGCTTGTACAACGGATTGTGCTCAGAGAAATTGTTCAATATGATGCCCACGGCCACTTTCTACCATTGTACGGCTAGCCATCGACAGGGATTTCACTCTCATACCCTACAGCTTAAATGGTCGCGTACAACATGAT